AGACGGCCACCCCAGAAGAATGAAACAAGGATCCTATCAGGGCTGATGGAAGCACTGGGGCTCCCCTTGCTTGGGGCTCAGCTGCTGGAGCTTTTGAGGGTCTGGCCCTTAACTGATGTCACCCCCAGGGTTACAGCTTACTGATGAGGGGCCCAGCGCTTGGGAGCTAATTACGGGTTCGGGTCACACAGTCACAGGGTGGCAGGTCCAGGCTCAGAGACTCAGTAGCTCCCAAAAATGCCCCCTCCTGACACACAGATCACAACCCCCAGCACAGTCCCTTACGTCCCCACAGCCAGTGCATTGAGGCCACCACAGCACAGAGCAGTGTGACCCGCACACACTCACACAGCTGGGAGGCAACAGTGTGGGGACACCGGCCTGGCTCGGATCCATAACTTCCTCCCATCACGGCCTCCATCAGGGCGGGGGGAGGCGCGGACAGACTGATTTCAGAATCAGGGTCCCCTCTGCCCAGGTTAGTCCTGATCCCCACCTGCTGTCCCTGTGTCCTTCAACTGTGTGTCCCTTTCACTCCCCAAAGTGCCCTGCTTGGACAGAAAGCACCCCACCCACTGCAAACAGACAGGGTGTCTTGTGCCCACATAGCAAACATCTCTGGGCCTCGATCTCATCTATAAAATGGGGAGAATACTCTTACTAGTTGCTTCGCGGTAAGAATTAAATATACACAATGTGTCTGGCATAAAGCAAGCACTACAATTGTCACTGTTGCTGTTAATGATGATGGTTTGGATGGGGAGGAAGAGGGTGATACGGGCGACGTTCTGGCCACGAGGCCCAGGCCCTGTGCACATGTGCCAACATCAGGCTCCCCTAACAGTGTCCTCCCCACGCTCAGGACTCAGGCCAGACCGGTGGCGTGTGGCCCTCCAAGGGACGTGAGCTGCCATCGTGTTCCCTCTGCTGCACATCTGTCTCCTCGGGGAAGGGCAGAAAAGTCAGCCGGGCCAAGAGCACAGATCTGTTGGGAGGACGATCTCAGCTATGCAGCCATGCCACCCGACTGGGTGTCCCGCCCAGGGACCCGCAACCTGTTCCTACAAAGGGGCAGATAGTTCAGACCGTGTGGGGCATGTGCCAGAGGGTCCGTACGGCAGTTTCTTCTTTGATTTTCTATTTTTACAAAAATGCTTTAAGTTTAAAAACCATTCTGAGCTCAGGCCCCAGGCCAGATGTGACCCACAGCTATAGTTGGCTGACCGACCCCTGACCTCGGAAAAGACTGACATGCAAGCCAATCGAACTTCCCCGGTGGCCAAAATTAGATGCCACAAAGCTCAAAACTACAGGTTCCCGGAGCCTTTCTCATGACCGGTTTACTCACACTTGAAACACAGTTGTGACAACCTTGGCCACCAGCTTACTTGGCCCTTGGTGACAGAGAATGCAGAGAATAGCCAGCACCGACTGAGGGGGTGGCCGCTGCCAGGCGTGTGCCCCGCGAGGACCATCTCAGAGGAACGGCAGTGCGTTAGGGGAGGTCGCGGCCGCCATTTCCGGATGGGGACACCGAATCTTAGAAGGCGCGGGCCATTTGCTGCCACGATGATCATTAACAGCAGTGACCACTCCGTTACCATCAACAAACACAATAAGCTGGGGAGAAGGCCTCCAGCCTTTACCCAGATGCAGCAACGTCTCCACACGGACACACAGCCCCAGAATTCCTCTTTCACAGCCCAGCGGACATGCAGGACTTCTCTGGGCTGTGCTCCGAGCTCCAGCTCATCATCTTGTCTAATGAAAAGTTACAGTTCCCAAAATAGTCCTGGTGGCAGGGCCGTTGCTAGGAAACGCTGCTTGGGGTGGGGGAGCTGTGGGCGCTGGTCCCCTGCTCCTGTCGCTGTATGGTCGGCCCTCCCTCCTGCCGGCTTCCCACCGCTGCCTTCCCCCTTCCGAGGGCTGCAGAGGGGAGCAGTCGGCCAAGCCTGTGTTCTATACGGAGTAGCCACAGTAACAGGGAACATGCCACAAACGCCACGCACACACGTGCACACACATGTATGCACACACACACACACACACACACACACACTGCCCCAGCTTTCCTGCAGCACAGAAACCGGACAGACTGACTGGCCACTGCCCAGCTCCCCCGAGGAAAGAACCCTTGTCTCGCTCAGGTCACTGAACACACACCGGGCTGACAGCTCTGCCTTCCTTACATCCAGCGGTGGGGTCTGAAACGCCTTGAATTATTTAAGAAAATGCAGCGGACACACAAAGGAAGATGGAGGAACGTCACCCAGGACACACACAGGGTCTGGCATGGGGACACCTGCTGACCCCTGTCCTCATGCGTTGCATTTGGGTGGGGCCGGGAGGAGAGGCTGGCGGGCTGGCCAGGCGTCACTTTGGTCACGTGTCAGAGGAGGGCCACAGCAGTGAAGATGGAGCGAAGGAAAAGGGTCACCTCCCCTGTCCCCACACAGACCAGGTCCCATCTCACACCTCCTACAACCGCACAAGCGGTCCTTTCTGGGTCCCTGCACATTAGCAGGCCTCCAGGAGCGAAAGCAGAGGAGGGATCCGAGTGTGTCATAAACGCAGGTGTGAACAGGCTCATCCAGGCACCCCCCCGAGGTGGAGGGCACACTGTGCCCTGGACACAGCCTCGTCCCAGGTCAGCTCCCACTGTCACGCTGCTGACTGCTTTGTGGGCCAACTCCAGGGTGACTGATGCGTGTGTCTGTGCGTACCGTGTGAGTGTGTGTGAGTGTGAGTGTGTGTGTGTGTGAGTGTGTCTGAGTGTGTGAGTGTGTGTGCACGCACATGCATGTGTGCAGGGAAGCGTGCCCCCAGGGGTTCGTCCTGGCCAGCTCTGCTCGCGTGGCAGTTCCCGAGGCTGCTAAGCACTCCAGGCAGTCCTGGGAGAGTCTGTGGCCCAAGCCCGTGGGGGCCTCTCTGGGCTCCTCCCTCACTGTCACCCACTCAGCCTCCCAGGCCCCCGCCCTGTGTATTGTCCTGGTGACAGCGTGGCCGCAAGCCCAGTGTGGGGGCAGCCGGCCACAGGGGGGCGCTCCTGGCTGCAGGGAAGTCCGCCTGGTCAGGAGCAGGTGCTGGCAGCTGAGGAAGATCCCTTACCCCAAGCCCAGGAAACCGCAGCTGCCTCCTGGGAGGCCTCACACCGCAGCCCCAGGCCTGGGGAGGGCGGAAGCTCTGTGTTTCCACTCGGAATTCCCACTAGGGAGCTCAGCGGTCACTTTCTCTCCCTCCTGGGCTCGGGGCGCCACAGAACCCTACCAACCCAGCAGGACCCCTGGGGTCTCAACACGAGGACAAATTCGGGGTACACAGGGCCTAACCTCGAGCTTGACTTCACCCCCAGCGAGAAAAGGCATTTTCTGAGCAAGCGCATGACAGAAATAATAGTGCACGGAAGTTTTTCCCCAGGAGCCTGCTGCTCAATGTTTCCGTATGTCCTGGGATGTTCCCTGCTCATTGGAGGCGACACACACAGCAAAGAATCCAAACAGTTCAAGGTCAGCAGCCCTCCCCTCCACTCTCTGACCCCAGGTCCCTTCCCAGAAACAATCCGGTACCCCGCTTCTAAAGCCCCTCCAGCAACGCCCTGGGCAGTTCACTGCAGACCCATCACCCACCTGCCCTGTGGCTGCCCCTGGCTCCCACCACCGATTGGAGGTGCCTTTGTCACTCAGCCCCTTCCTGGGGACTCTATCTTGACTCCGTCCATGTTGGAGAGAAGAAATGGGGAAGACGCAAGGCCCTGTGGGACCCAGCCCCCCTCCCTCTCCCCGTTTCTAACCTCCCTGCACCCCACCCACATTCTCTGGGTTCCTCCACGGGGGCGCCCAGCATCCACTTCCCTGTGTCCCCCCCCCCCCCACACACACACACTGCTTTTCAACCTTGGCTGCACCGAAGTTGGCAGCAGCTGGGGAGATTCATAAAGCACAGATGCCTGGGTCCCACGCCCAGAGCGTTTCAACTAGGAGCTGCTCAGGTGCCCCCGTGAGCAGCGAACCAAGAACCAGGCTGTCTCAGTCCTGCTGCCTCTGACCCCACTCCGTGACCCCGTGAGCAGGCCAGGTCCCTGCCTCACATTCTTAGAAGCTCCCTGACTTTCCTTCACCATACTCATCGCAGCTGTGGCTTTCTGTTTATTTGTGGGATCATGTAATGTTTTCTGGGAAGATGGGATTGGGCTCACCTGTACCCTCACAGCTAACACAGACCCTGCACACAGCAGGGGCTCAATAAGATGCTGTCGTGCCAATTAAAACATGAGGTTTTGACTATTACGCAAAGAGACTGCATCTCAGGCCCCTCTAGTTCCTGGTCCATAATCACTTAGCAAGAGAGAAAGAGTGATTGGAAGAAGGGGCTGGCAACCGACACCCTGGGGGCCAACCCAGCCCACCACCTGTCCTGTGGGGCCTGAGCTAAGAATCGAGTCCACATCCTTATGTGGCTGAGAGAAATCAAAATGGAATAGTTCATGACACATGAGCATTGTACGAAATTCAAATTTCAACGTCCACAAGTCAGCAGGGGCACAGCCACCTCCACTCTGTCACGCGCTGTCTGCTTCTGCCTCTCCATGGCGGAGTCCTGGCACAGGGCAACTGTGACACAGGCCTTCTCACCCCTAAAGCCTAAAATACATACTGCCTGACCCTTCCCAGAAAAGGGGCACCGACCCGATCTAGGTCATGGAGGCCAGGAGCACAGCTTCTGGTCACCCCGGCACTTCGGCTGCTGCCACACGTCTGTCCCCGGGTCTGTCCTCAGCCCATCGGACAAAACCGTTTGACAAAGACAGACAGACTGCCCTTTTGGTAGACAGTCTGTCTCCCTTCCGTTAGTCCTCCATTCTTTACTATTCACAGGAATCAAACCTGCATCTCCGTTTACTCTTCATTCATCAGCAATCATGTGGTTTTTTTTTTAATAACAGATGATCAACAGGCCTTAATCCTGTTTTAATTTCCCATTCCCCAAGATCCAAAGTAAGGTTGGCAACGTATTCAAAATGCCCAATTTTGGGGCATTGTTGTCCCAAAGCTTTGTCCCGAAGCTTTGTTGTCCCACTCACGTTAAAATAGTCGCAATTTCTATCTCGGCAATGACAGCCCCCCAAGTGGGGGGACAAGTCAGGATATAAGGTTCAATACCTGAGCCCTTCAGGGCTTGACACCAAGCTGTTCTTTCACAGGCAAAGTTGGACTATTAATACGAAGCAATTGTCCATGTAGGTTTCCCCTGAAAATAGCATCATCAAAACACTTCACTCTGAATCTAAAGAAATGATGACTTCGGCCGACACTCGGTCTGTGAGCAGACAGGCCCGGCCGGGGTCAGAGCATTTTATAAAGCTGCACGCACTGACCTCATGAGCTCCCTTCCCAATTCCTGACACCTGGGACGAATTAGAGACACTGCTAATAGTTTAAGGCTGAACCAGGTGTTAGGAATTCCATCTAGTCACACCCTCTCCGGGAATAGGCCCCAAGAGGCCAGGTTCCTTTAATCAGGAGGATGAGCGTGGCCCGGCTCCTGAGAGAGTGGTCAGCGGCAGGGAGCCGCCGTCACCAAGCAGAGGCGCGTCCAAGAATCAGAAAGCACGTCAGGACTTACGTCCCACGCCTCACGCCTCACGCCTCACGCCTCACGCCTCACGCCTCACGCCTCACGCCTCACGCCTCATGCCATCACCGAGAGACGGAGAGGAAGACAGGAACTCAAGACCTTCATGAATCGCCCTAGAGATGGTAACAGGTGCTTCTCAAAGATGCACGCAAACGAGGCCACCTGGCAGACGCCACCGAGATGAAGGTCTCAGACTGGAGTCTGAGCAGCAGCTGCCTCCCGGACCCCCACCTTCCTTATCTGCAAACTTGGGGGTAAGGGCACACCCGGTCCTGAGGATGCTGTGAGGACGTAGGGATAAGGCAGGTCCAACGCCCCACGCGGGCCCCAGATTATAATCAGTGGTTATAAATGGTAGCTGTAGCTGTAGGTGGCAGTAAAAATAACTTTCCCAAATCAAGGATTAAAAAGTGAATATGAAAAGAGTAGAAGCCACTGCCACCACTTCAGGGGAATCAGGACTAACCCAGCTCAGCGGGAAGCCATTACACACTCCCAGGGAAGATGGTGGCCCTCAGCTCTGCACCCCATGAGGGAGGTGGCCTGAAAGTCCCCGAGGGGCTCTCAGAGGCCCCAGGCTGAGCCCAACGGATCATGACTTGGGAATTTCCCCCAACGTGAGACCCCCCCACACACAGGTCCAGCCTCCAGGCGCAGACACCAGACTCCTCCCACATCCATTGCATCCTGGCCGGCTTCCTGGGCCCACCGGGGAGACACCCAGTTCAGTGGTCCCAGGCCGTGCGCCGCCCCGCCCACCGCGGAGGCGGTGCCACTTACCCTGCCGCCCCGCCCACCGCGGAGGCGGTGCCGCTTACCCTGCTCCATCAGCTCCAGCAAGCCCTTCTTGATGAGCTCCTCCCGACCTTGCCTGCCGGCCATCTTCTTCTCCAAAGCTGCACAAACAAGCGGTCAGGTGAGTCAGGCGGGGGCAGCCAATGCCAGCGTCCCGTTTGCAGAAGAGACGGGAGGCGGCAGGTGATGGCAGGGTACGGGGCCTGGTCCACGGGGAGCGGCGTGTTCAGAAACCCAAACCTTTCCCACTGAGCAATCGGCCAAGCGTTGCACGTAAAGCTTGGCCGAAGGGCAGCACATCGCCTGTATAAAACGGTCATTTCCGTGATTCATCTGAAACGCAACGCCTCGAATGGCACCTTTCTCTCGGCTGGCTCCTACGCTCCACCAAATGCTCCATAATTTCCCTGCCCCCAGGACCCTGTGGCACTTCTCGGCGGTCCTGTTATCGTTTGCGAAACCCATCATGACCGCTCTTTATGTCTGATCATGGTCCAGCCTCTGTGCGGCCGTCCCACCAGGCCATCCCTCCAATACCCCCAGGTTAACGCTTTCAAAGAATTCACCAGACAGGGAGCGGGGAGGCCGGGCCCCCACCCCCTTGCAGCCTCCCCGCCAGAGTCGTGGCTGTCCCTGTGCTGTGCACTTCTCACTTGTCTGTCGCCCAGGTTCGGGGGACAGCTCTAAGTGGGCAGAGCCGGGGGCCTCCCTGTCTACGCTGCACCTGGCTCCGGGGCGTGCTCTCGACCCACTGAACGGCAGTGTGTGCTCTGCTCTCGTTCCTGAAAAGGAGCATCATCAGTCACCCCCCTGGGTGGCTAAAACGTAATTACGTGAACCGTGGACCTGCTGCTATTAGCGGTCCCCATCGGCTTTGCCTCCGCCATCCTCTGAGCCCTGGAGTCCGTACCTCTTCAGAGCTGAGAGGGAAACGGGGACCCCAGGGACCGCCAGCGGCAACAGCCTGAGCTGGCACTTGCCAGGGCTGCTCCCCGGGGCCCAGGACTAAGTCCACACCAGCTCCCACACTAATTATTTCCAGCCAGAGCCAATCCGCGTGCGGCCCAGCGGCAAGGCCCATGAGGGCTGAGATGCTGTGTCCCCAGGGTTTTGCTTCTCGAGGCACCAACCTCCCCTTTACCAAGGACACCCGGGACACCTGTCATCCAGGAGCCAGACCTGCGCCAGATGTCAGGGCTCACACCCCAGCTTCCTGGCCTGCTGGCTGCTTGGCTGCGAGTGGCTTCCCCTCTCCGAGGCCGTTCCTGTCCCTGAGAGATGGCAGGACCACAGTGACAGCACTGGCTCTAGGGCTGGTCCTGGGTATTCCGTTGGTTAGAAACATGCTGTCGCGCTTTGCTCTTATGGCCAGTGCTACAATTGTCACCACACATGTCTCCTGTCACTTCGTCTAATGGTCATAGTTCCCAGCATGGATTGCGAGGGGGCCGGGGCAGCTGCACAACCCGGCGCAACCCGACTTCCCACCGAGCTGGGACTGGCAGGGTGTAAGGAAGCAGCGGGAGGTGAGAGAGGGACCTTCTGGACCCTTGGGGGGGAGGGGTGCCGCGTGGGTCGGGAGTACCAGGCAGGGAGCCTCTTCAGGGTAGGCTTCCAGAAAGAAGTCTCCAGGTTCAAGGCCACACTGAGGGCCTTGATCCTCTGAATCACCCAGGGGGCTCTTTAGGGACGGCAGGACCCAGGGCCAGCACAGGCCAACTGAGCCCACATCTCTGGGGAGGGGTCTGGGCCCCAGCGTGGGATTCCAGGTGCCAGAGGGCTGGGTGCTTGTTACTCGAGGGCTCAGTGAGGAGAGCTTGTTACAAGCCAGGGTCTCGGCACAGCCCAGCTGTGAGCTGACTCAGAGCCTGCATTTTCAACCAGGTCCTGGGTGACCCGGGTGCCCCATAGGGGGTGGGTGGTGAATGGGTTACAGGTGTGCCTGGTGCTGACCCACCCCAGCCAGGTGAGACCTGGAAGGGCCAGCGGAGGGAGGTGACCCAGAGGAGGATGGGCTGCTCCTGGCCATCAGAGGCCACTGAGCATAGGCTGCCCTCCTGGGTGGGGCCAGGAACACAGTGTCAGTCACAGAACGCGCAGTGACAGTGATGCCAGGACCCTCTCCCTGGTGCTCACCAGATGTCGTCTGCTTCAGTTTTTCGTTTTTCTTTTTCCTCCATTTCCAGGGTTTGAAGATCCGGCCCAGGGTGGCCAGCTTGCTGTTCCTCCTCACGGGGGGAGTTCGAATCCCTGAGACCAGATACTCGGAACGCACTGGGGGGTTCGGGTCCATCTCATCTGCAAGACGAAAACCAAGGGAGGGCTCAAGTGGTCACCAATCCACACGGCTCCCCAAGGGGGCCTAAGGTGACACCCCCCGCCTCTCATCCTGAGGAGCCACCGGTGATTCTCCAAAGCCTGGGGCTCAAGAGGGACCTCAGAGCAATGGAGACTCTCTGGGGCCCGTTCCAACCAGGTGGCCCATGGGTGGCACAGGCCAGCCCATGAAAATGTGTGTTCATTTCCCTTCTGTGCAGACCCTCCCTCCTACAACCCTCTCACAGCCCACAGGAAGCCCTCGCCCAGCTCTGCCTTTGGCCACAGCGATTTAAGACTTATCAAATTCCACGATGAAAGTTTTCCCACCCCAGGACCTTTGCTCGTGCTATGTCCCCCACCTGTGCTGCTCTCCTGTGTCAGCTTCTTCTTTGCCCTGTAAACTTCGGCTACTCAGCTGAATCTGACTTCTCCCAGGAAGTCCCTCCTCCCCCTGCCCCAGACGAGGTCCCGCCCGGCCCCCTGCCCCTGGATCTATTCGTGTGGGCACCGGGAACTGCCATGATCCTGGGCGCCTGCCCCTCCCGCTCCGCGGCCCGCTCTGCCGTGGCCTCGGCACGGAGCTGGCTGTGCTCCTCAGTGAACAGCTGCAGGATGACGAAGTCCATGAATGGACAGAGCGAAGCAGCTCCCTTTGGAACCCTTCCTTGTTCAGAAAACGAGGCCATTTTGCACACTCCGGGGTCTGAGGAAGCGCATGGCACCGCTGTGTGTCACCCAGGAGACCGGTAGCAGCCCCCACGCCCCTGGCCAGGGCACTGGCTTAGTCACCATCCTTCCTCTCAGTGGCCCGTGTACAGAGGTGGGAAAGAAGAAAGCAGATGGGTGTGTGCAGTCAGGCAGCCTGAGATCGCTAGGTCAAAGTCACACACTTGTGCCACCAGTGGGCGAAAGGGGGCCGTGCACATGCTGCCGTATGCCAAGAAACGTCTGCAGGGCCCCCCAACAAAGGGGACGCACTGGCTGCTGGGGGCCTGGGAGACAGCATGACGCAGGCTTCGCCACAGGCCCTATCTGATGTGCATTTCTGTAGGAAATCATAAAGAATGGAAAACAAAATGGAACTAACAGAATGCTGAGCTGGAGACCTGTGGGAAACAGCAGTACTGTCCACACCCGCTCACCCTGGACCCATCTCATGGGCAGAGCTTAGACCTGAGTTCATGCCATCGCTGTGGTAGGACTGAGAAAAAAGTGCCTAAGTGGCCCCAAACCCCTCCTGGGACGGGGACGACACGTTTCTTCTGGCAGCGGTGAGGACCTGGGTCCCTACAGGCTCCCAGATTTATCCTCCCTGTGTCACTGGGGTGGAAGCTTATACACCCGGAAGGAAGCTGCCAGCAGGCAGAGGGACCAGGGACCCATGACAGACGGGTCACCATCAGAGCCAGCCCGACCTGTCACGTGACAGGTGGTATCACAGTGAATCTATGGGGTAGAGATTGTGCTGTGTCCATTTTACAGACGAGCACACTGAGGCCCAGAGCAGCGAGCCATTTGGTCGCCTGTCACAGCGAGAGGAAGGCTGAGGTGGGGCATGACCCTGAGAGCAGCCTGACTCCAGAGACCCCTCTCGAATCGCTAAGCTGCTTCTAGGGTGACCGTATAAATTCATCACCCAGGGCAGGACACAGACGATGGGACACCAAGACAAGAGGCGTAAGCCAGGAGCGGCCCAGCCCAGCCACGTGCGTTGTGTTAGTACCTGAGCTTTACCTGTGTGCCAGGGCTGTGTCGACAGATGTCCACAGAGCAACCCCGGGCGGGAGCCTTTTACCCAGGATGAGCCCAGGGTGTCTCATTTCAGAACTTCTCCCTGGTGGCTCAGCAACCAATGAGGCTCCAAAGGCAACGGCATTCTCCATCTTGTTTTCAGCTGTAACCCTGGCACCCAGTAGGGGCCCAGGACGTGCAGGTCAGGGAGTGACGGAGCCAGGGAGGGTGTGGATCACGGTCCCTCCTGCTGTCACCCCCCAGCTCCACACCCCAGGCGTGCGGGCGGCAGCCGGGTCCTGCTCTTCCCGGAAGTTTCCCATGTTACCCTCTCCTCTCCTTCCTCCACCCACAGACGCCAGATGGAGCGGAACTGCCAGGCACGTGTTCCCAGGAGAGCTGGCCGTCCTGGAGGCAGTTCTGGCACAACGGGAAAAGACCTGGCCAGGTCTCCCCAGGCCTCGGGGCTCATTTGAAGATAAAGACCAAGGTCCCCAGGAATGAGCACGGGGAGACAGAGCACTGTCATTGCTTTCTTTGTACCTCGCCTAGTTTCACAGAGGATGGGTGGCAGTTACCAGAAACACACACGCCCAACAAGATAAAATGAACATCCGAGGAAATCCAGAGGGAGGGGATCTGGACAGAACCACAGCTTCAAAGGCTTCAAGGCCTCAGTGGGGCCAGAGGAGGGCGCACACGTGACTCTGAGCTTCCTAGCAGCCAACGCAAAAAGGGACAGCACAAAGGATACAAATCAGACTACAAATCCCACTGCACTTGCTGAGACCCTGGTCCAGGCCACCAGATGGGGGGAGAGGGCGGTCAGGGCTTGGAGGGAGAGCACAGCGGGTGCGGGCCATGGATGCGGCTAGCGGGGCAGGAGGTGCTTGAACTTGGCTCAAAATTCCATAGGGAGCCACGGGAGACCTTCAGCTCTAAAGGCCTGGTTTGTTCATTTACCAAATATGCACTGTGCTCGAGCGGGACAGACACCTTGGTCTGAGTGGCTCCTCAGAAGGGGTCCCTGTCAGGGGAGAGCGAAGACCCACAAGCCCAGAGGTCTGAAGGGAGGACCCGGCTTCTCCCCCTGACCTCCCCCAGGTGCCTCATGCCCAGGGCCAGGCCCACAAGGGCTTCTGAGCGCTGTGACTCACCCCCCAAGAACAGAAGGTTCAGAGATGCTGAGCTGCTCAGTGATGGAAGGACGTACAAATGCCTCCAGGGCAGAAAGGGCACAGGTGTCACCGACTGTGTGCTCAGGGTCCGAGTGAGCCACGGGTGGGCGTGGGTCCTGCTGGGCACAGAGTGGGTAGATGTGAATGTGGGCGGGTGTGAATTAGCCTGTCGGAAAAGTCATGACGTATTGTTTCTATGTTTTTTGTTGCAAAAATGCGTCATGACTTTTCCGACAGCCCAAGAATAGAAGAGCAGGTGCATGGGAACGCACCTACGTGTGCGCCGTCACGGCGGGCATGTACATACGCAGGCGGGTCTGTGTGCTGTACGTTGTGTGTCCATAGAGAGATGGGACGGCTGGGTGTGCTGCCTGCTTCTGTCTCCAGCCCTTGAACAGTCTCTCTGGAGCTGCTGAGGAACCCCCTTCCACACTGGAGGTGCAAACACATTAGCAGGCCCCTCTAGCCTCTGAATAACACAGCGGCGCTAAGTTCCACGGGCACCTCTGCCGCCTGTGAGGCATTAGCAGTTAATTAATGACAAGGTGTCCCCACACTTGCATGAGGAAGTGCAACAGCGGCTACAGGGCAGGCGGGGGGGAGGGACGGTGCAGGCGCCAGCTCCCTCCAGTCTCTGGTCCCTTAAGCAACGCCAACCCTGTCCCCGTCCTCTCAGGCTCAGGGCAGTCTGTGCACTTGTTTCCCAGTACCCAACCCCACCTACCTCACCCACTGATGGATCCTGCAAACCTAGAAGTCAGGCATTGTTCTAGAACAAGGCAGTGAGGGACACCAATGCCACGGCTGAGCTCACGGAGCTTACGGGCTAGTCTCCAAGCCTGGCGCAGGGCCAACCCCTTTATTCAAAATATTCCCTTCCATCTTCACTCCGGTCACTCTCAGATACCATCCTGGGATGTACAATCTACTGTCTTCTTTCCCACCAGAACAAGCAGCTGCCATGAGCGCAGGAGCTGTGGCCGCCTTGTTCATCCCTGTCCCTGGCATCTTCACTGGTGCCTGCTACCCAGGAGGCGCTCCAATAAACGCCTGCTCGACCTGACAATCTGGGATGTGGAGATGCCTGTGCTGAAGCCAGGACCTGGCCCCGTCCGTCTGACTCCAAAGTCCGCCCTGTATTGACACCGGGCATTTGTTCTATCCACTGACCTGTCGCTTCCTTCTCCTTCCACGTCACTGGGACACCTTCCCCCCAAAATACAATGGACGGAACCACGTGTCACATGCTGAGTGGCTGGCCTCTTAGGGAAGACAAGCACCGTGTGTATCAGACAATATTGGAACATGATGTTTGCTTCTTTGTTTCATTCATTCATTCATTCATTCACAAACTCATTCATCAAGTATCAGCTGAGGCTCACTGTGTGCCAGGGCTGTTCTGAGTTTGAGGCAGAGCAGTAAACATGATTGACACACTGTCTCATGCTGCACGAAGCTCACCTGCTTATGGGGGAGGAAGAAAACACACAAGGAAACTTCAGAATGTGACATGAGCTACGAAAGAGGCAAACAGGAAGCAGGGATGGGGACCAACAGAGCATGGACTCTGTCCCTTCCGTGAGTCCCTTCTTGCCCAGAAGAATCCACCTGACAATGCTTAGTGACCATCTTCTGTGAACCAAGCACTGTGCCAGGCCTGAGGCAAAATGAACAGGTGCTGGACACCCACTGTCCTGGTGAACTCACTGACCACAGAGAAAACCAAGGTACATGAAATCACCAGGAAGAAGCAAGACTGAGGATGACAACTGGAGAGGAAGCAATTCTTCCTGCTTGGGGGTGGAAACGATGAGAAGCCTACTGGGGGTGGGGGGGTATTTGAGTAGGGCCTTGGCGGTTGAGTAGGAGTTGAATAAAAGGGGCAAATCCATAAAAGCATGACAGTACGTGGTGTTTGGGGAACGGGGAATAACGCAGGGAAGTGACTTCTGATGTGCCCAGTCTCTGAGGTTCAGAAACCCAATAAAATTTCCACTTATAAAATTGGGATCCATGTAGAGATGCCAACTTTCTATGCTGCCGAGTAATGACCAACACATGCGCAGAAAT